TGTCCCAGGGCGGCTCAGTGGAAACCAGGTCAAGGGCAACCCAAGTCCAATGGACGGTGTCCTTCCGGGACCGGACACACCCGCTAGACCACGTGAGGAGAGCGTGGCCGGCCGAGCCCCAGCCCGCCGGGAACGAGCCCTGCCTTGACCAGGTCTCGGGCCTCCGGGCCTCCGGGCCTCCGGGAAGAGATTCCCGTCTCAGTCACAGGGTCTGGGGGTTTCTTCCCGCAGCCGGAGCGGACCGAGACAGTGGATGTGAGGGCCAGGATAGGGACAGTGACCATCGGGACCCGACCCCACCCCCTCGCCCTGCCTCCTTCAGAGGAAGGAGGGGCCAGGAGATGTCGCCCCCCCCAGGGTGGGGCAGGGCTGGAAATGGGGGCATCTCCAAGCCCTTCCCGTTTTCTAAGAATCTCCATTCTCCGAATGGGATCTGGAGGCCAGACACTAGGGCTGAGGCCGCCAGTGACCAGTGACCCCAGCTGTCTTTCTGAGCAGGCTGGCCCGCTGGCTCTGAGGGGTGGTCCTGCCCACGCTCAGTGCCCAAGGGGGGAGAAGAGGAAGAGATAGAGAAGGGCGGGTCCTGGAGGCCTGGAGGTGCGCCCCCAGGGCAGGGAGGGGGCCGCTGGGGAGGGGAAGGTGCCAGGAGGAGTCAGCTCTGGAGTGTCTCAGGCCACCTTGGGGCCACCCTCAGAGGATGGGGAAGATCTACCCGCAGCCTTCCAGAGACGTCCCCCGATTCATCTGCGCCCTGCCCCCCCACGCCCGCCGGTTGGCGCCCCTCGATTTTCACTTCTGCTTCCCGTGACCTGCCGTGCAGTGCAGGAGGGCCAGCACCCCCAGCCCCAGCCCCCCCCCCGCCGGGGAGCCCCAGCCCCAGCACCTGCCCAGGTTGCCGTGGCGACAGCGGAAAGGCTAAGGGTCCTCCAGGGGTGAGGGGTGAGGGGTGGGCAGTCAGGGGAGGGCCCGGAGGGCTGGGACTGGGCCAGGCTCATTTCACGCTTCAGAGCCCCCCTCAGCTTCCGCCGGCCAGAGCCGGAGCTTCCCCTTCTGCCCTGGCGGCGTCTGGGGCGAAGCCTGTCTCGGAGGGTTCCAGCGCTCCCAGGCAACATGCTCCTGCCACTGCTGTGGGCTGTGCTGTGGGGCGGTGAGTGGGGCGCAGGGCCCGGGCTGGGCTGGGGGCTGGGCCGGCGGCCTAAAGCTCAGTCTCCGCCTAGGGTCGCAGGCTCCGTCCCCCGAATACCAGCTGAAAGTCCCGAGGGTGGTGACGGTGCCACAGGGCCTGTGTGTGCGGGTGAGCTGCGACCTGCGGTACCCCCAGCAAGGCTGGACGGAGTCCACGCCCGCGCAGGGCTACTGGTTCAGATACACAGAGTCCCTTCAGTGGGACTACAAGACCCTGGTGGCCACAAACGACCCGGCTCAACAATGGAGGACCCAGTACCGATTCCAGCTGGTGGGTGAACCCCAGAATTTTGACTGCTCCCTGCTGGTCAGGGAGGCGCAGCTGGAGGACAGCGCTGTGTACTTTTTCCGCCTGGAGAGAGGCACCCACGTGAAGTACAGCTTCTTGGACTTCAGGCTCAGGCTGGAAGTGACAGGTACGGAGCCGCTTCCCCGGGGACGGACGGGCCCTCCCCTCCTGCCCCTCTTGCTTCTCACCCCCGGAGGGACTGAGGGGGTGCGCCGGCGGTCACCCGGAAGACCTGGGTTCTAGGGCTGGAATGGCGCCCTCTCACCCCTCCAGAGCAGATCCCCAAGCCGGCCCTCTACATGCCGGAGACCCTGGAGCCTGGGCACCAGGTGCCCATCGTCTGTGTCTTCAACTGGACTTTCGAGGGATGCCCAGGCTTTCCTTTCTCCTGGAGGGGAAGCCCTGCCCTCTCCGCCCCAAGGACCTCCCACAGTTACCCCCAATTCTCCGTGCTCACCCTCACCCCAAGGCTCCAGGACCACAACACAGCCCTCACCTGTCAAGTGGACTTCACCGGGGTGAGCACGGAGAGGACTGTCCAGCTCCATGTGGCCCGTGAGTATGGGGACGGGACGTGGGGCCTGCCCAGGGAGGGGTGGGAGCTGTGTGGGGAGAGGATGGAGCTGGGAGCAGCCTGTGGGGAGGGGACCGGCCACCGCTGTCCACCTGCCTGCGCTTGGCGCTGACTCCTACTTGACTCCTGGAGCAGCCCCTGCCCGAGGGGCTCTCCCTGGCGGGGGACGAAGGCTGCTCTCCAGCCAGCCTCTTTATTGCAGACGCCCCCAGAACCTTGACTATCAGCATCTCCCAGGCCAACACCTCAGGTAAGAGGCAGGGAGGGGCAGGTGTCCTCTCTGGGGGCCGGAGTTGGGGGGGACCCTCTCCTCCTCTGTGTCTTTATTCCTCTATTTCCCACCCGCCCCAGCCCCAGAGCGCCACCCCCAGGGCTCGTGGGAGCAGCGCCTGGATGTGCGGAAAGGCCAGTTCCTGCAGCTGCTTTGCGCAGCCAATGGCTGGCCGCCCGCCACCCTGAGCTGGGCCCTGGGGGACAGAGTCCTCGCCTGGTCACCTCCCTCGGGCTCCAGGGCCCTGGCGCTGGTGCTGCCCCAGGTGAAGGCAGAGGACGCGGGGAGATACACCTGCCGCGCGGAGAACAGGCTGGGCGCCGGGAGCCGCCAGCTGGACCTGGCCGTGCAGTGTGAGTGCGCGGGAAGGGCAGGCCGCGGCCCCCGGGGCGGGCACCCCCTCCCTGTCCGGCAACAACATGTCAGTGACCGGAGAGTTAATTTTTTAAATCCACCAAAAAACGGAAAGGGTTGCCAGCCTCTGGTGAGCCCTCGGCTGCCAGCTCCCCGCCCCCCAGCTCCTCCCCGCCAGGCCAGGGTGTGGAGTGGAAGTTCCAAGCTGGTCCGGACACCCCGCCCCTCCCCCCACCAGGCTCAGGCGTGTCCCCATCGCCATCACAGGGCCTCAGGTGCAGCTGAGAGCAGCTCAAGTCCCCAGAGTTTAGGGACTCGGGCCAGCACGAAGCCACGTGGACATTATCAGCTTACCATTACCTGCACCAACAGTATCAGAGTCTGAGTATGACAGGCGCCTGCCCTGGCAGAGGGGACACACCACGAATCGCTCTGCCGGGGTCGGCGCGCCCGTGTCCCCAGGGGAGGCCCCTCGTCCAGGCGCAGCACCCCCCAACCCCAGCCTTCTCTGTTCCAGATGGCCCAGAGGACCTGAGGATCATGGTCTCCCCAGCAAACAGGACAGGTAGGGAGGCGGCCCCGGCATCGGCATCGGGCAGGCGCTGTCAGAGGGTCCCCCGGCCCTCAGCCCTGCCTCTGTCCTGCTCTCCCCTCCCCTGCTCCTAGAAAACCTCCGGAATGGCACAACACTGTTCGTCCTGGAGGGCCAGAGCCTGCGCCTGCTCTGTGTCACCCACAGCAACCCCCCCGCGAGTCTGAGCTGGGCCCTGGGGGGACACACTCTGAGCAGCCCCCAGTCCACAGACCCCGGGGTCCTGGAGCTGTTTCAGATCCAAGCGGAGCAGCAAGGGGAGCTCACCTGCCTGGCCCGGCACCCCCTGGGCTCCCAGCACGTCTCCCTGAACCTGCGCGTGCAATGTGAGTGGGGGCGCAGGGGGCCTGCGTTCCGGGGGGGCACCGGCAGCGCTGACCCCTCCTCCCTCCCCTCAGACCCCCCGCGGCTGCTGGGCCCCTCCTGCTCCCCCGAGGACGACGGGGGTCTGCTCTGCCTCTGCTCCGCCCGCGCCCGACCGGCCCCCGCCCTGCGCTGGCGGCTGGGGGAGCAGCTGCTGGCGGGGAACAGCAGCAACGCCTCGGTGGGGGTCACCTTCAGCCCCGGGGGGCTCTGGGCCAACAGCTCCCTGCGCCTCCGCGGGGGGCTCGGCGCCGCCCTCAGACTCTGCTGCGAGGCCCAGAATCCTCACGGCACCGGGAGCACCACCCTCCTGCTGCAGCCAGGTCAGGGGGCCGCCTGCAGGTGGCGCTGGGGGGCGGGGGTGCCCAGGGCTTGGAAGGCCTCGCGGGGCCAGGGCACAGCAGGGTCCCTGGCAGCTGCACGGGCCTCGGGCCTCGAGGAGGGCGGCGTGGGCACCCACGCGGACGAGCGGGGCTCAGGCAGTGCCGACGTCTCCTCGTGCAGATGAGAAGGGGCTCCTCTCAAAAACCTTCTCCCACGGAATACTTCTGGGAATTGGTGTCATGACCCTGCTCTTCGGCCTCATCCTGATCCTGTGAGTTAGGAGTGGGGTCAGGAGCCAGAGGCATGGCGGACAAGGATCTGGGACCAGGGGCAGGGCCGGGAATGGGGCAGGGCCAGGGTGGGGCGGGATCTGGACTAGGGGCGGGGCCAGGGTGGGGCTGGACCTGGACTGGGCGTGGCCTGGATGGGGCGTGGCCTGGATGGGGCGTGGCCTGGATGGGGCGTGGCCTGGATGGGGCCGGGCTGGGAATGGGGCCCGAGCCGGGTGGGGCGAGGGCCCAGCCAGAACTCTCAGCTAAGTGTTTCCTCAGTGTGAGGACTCTAAGGAAGAAAGGACCCCCCGCAGACAGAGTCACAAGGAGGAGCACTATCTTGGATTATATCAATGTGATCCCCCGTGCAGGTCCCCTAGTGAGTACCCCCCCAAAGACCACCTCTTCATCCCCTTTTCTAAACTCTGCATCACACGCTCTTCCTCTGACTGTGCCACCCTCCCTGGGGATTAGAACTCAGGCTTTTGTTCTGTCTGTAGCGGCTATTCCCTACCAACAGCCCCAACTTCATGACTTACAGTTCATGACGTAAGTATTAATATCGTCCTGAGGCCGTGTGCCCTAGTGGTGAACAGCAGGGCTCTGAGGTCAGCTTGGGCTCAGCTTTGCTGCCATCGCTGTGTGTTCTTGGATAAACCGCTTAACCTCTCTGGGCCTCGAGTCTTTAATTACACAGTGAGTGAATGAACCAATCAGCCAAATACCATCATTCCTCCCTTAGGCACGGAGTCGGAGGCCCAAACCAAGCGGGCCTTCCCAGCCTCCTCCACCAAGCGCTGTCTCCCCAGAATCCAAGGGGAACCAAGAGTTGCATTTCATTGCACACAGCCGTCCGGGACCCAGATCACCCATTCAGGCCCCAGAGGCAGACCCTAAGCAAGAGGAGGTCCATTATGCCACACTCAACTTCCCGGGGCTCAGGCCCCGGGACACGCCGGCGCCCAGGACTAGCAACTCGGAGTATGCAGAAGTCAGGTTCCACTGAGGACGGCGGGCTGTAGGAGAGGGGGAGACAGAGGCAAAGTCTCCCCTGAAAGATTATCCAAGGTGCTCACAACCCAGGCTGTGGGGACTGCTGGACAAATGTCTTCAGAGTGCCCTTCTCCAAACGCACAGTTCTGGGAACAGCAGAGCAGGGAGGGGGGTCTTAAGAGTGGGCCCCTTGGTGGATGTGGGGTGCTAACCCCTCGGTCAAGGCTGGTGCTGCCTGCTATCACCCACCCCACAGGCTGAGGGCATTTCGTGTGTTAAATGGCGGTGGGGTGGTGTTAACAGGCTCTGGAGTCATGTGGAAAACACAAGACATTCAGACCTCAGTGCCCAGAATAAACTCTCAGGGGGCTCCATGAGGGCCACTGTTTTACGTGTTGTCTGTGGCTGGTTTCTCCGGGAGCTGAACCCAGAGCCTGAGAGGTATGGGCTGGTCTCACGGTGAGGTTTGCAGGTTTTCATCTAAAATCCACTTATTTCTGCAGAAGAGGAAACACGTGGAGTCCTGATAAGGGGTGGGGTGATCAGGGGAAAATGACAAGGTGGGGAGTCCCCGGAGGAGGCCGGCCAGGGGGCAGAGAGAGGCACTCAGCTTCCGGATCCCAGGGGTCCCAGGAGAGCCCACACAGGAAGCTGGGGGCGGGTGTGCTTGCAAATGGAGGGAAGAAGCGACTTCAGCCCCTGCAGCGCAGCTGGGGAAGGGAGAGGAAGGGTTCTCAGGCCAGACGGGCCCTCCTCCCTCCCCTGTGCTCATTAGCCCTCTGGGGGTGAGTTACCCCTTGTCCTTGTGCAGAGGAGCCCAGAAAGGAGCTGACCTTTGCACTAAAAGAGAAAACTGGTGTTACAAAACCGGAAGACAGGAAAAGCTGGGGGGAAGACATTAAGCAGAAGTCAGGGGTGAAGCTGAAAAAACTGGGTGGGCCAATGGGGGTTTCTCAGTCACCCGCCAAACATGGGGCAGTCTGAATGGAAGGGGGGAAGGGCACGGGTCCTTTGCTACTCAGTAACGCAGGCCCATCTCCAGGAACTGCGGGTATGATAAGGAGAACCCCCGCTGCGAAGCCATCAGAGAGGTTAATTCACTCGTCCAAGGTCACACAGGAGAGAGGGGCGGGGTCAGGAGTCTCAGCTGTGACAGGGCAGCTGTCAAGCCGCAGTTCCGGCCTTTGCCGATGCCGCCTGAAGGGGGCGCGCGTGGGCAGACGCAGGGCCGCGGGCCCGGAGACCCAAACCCCGCCGTGTCTAAGGCGGAGCCAGAGACGCAGCGAGGCCGATGCAGCATCCCGCCGCATCACCACCAGCTAAAACTCAGAGACTGTCGTTAGTCAAAATGTGTGCCGCACGGACTAAGATTCGGTGAGCACGAACGCCGGCCACTATGATCCCACAAATAATCACAGAAGTCGCTGGGGAATGTTTGACGGAGGCTCAGGAGGCAGCGGCTCTCCTCGCTGGTCCTAAAAAACTGGCCCTGTCAGAGGGCCCAGAGGCGGCTGGCGTTAATCCGGAAGGCTTCTGCTAGTTCACAGCAGCCAGCGCTTTATCTGGCTCAGGGAGAGCCAGCCACCGACTGGTTTTCCTTTGCATTTATCCTTCTCCGGAGTGAAGCCGACGCCCCCCCCTCCCTGCATAGGCGGTGGGCCTGGAGACAAGGGCCACTGGCAGTGGCCAGCTCCAGGGGGAGGTGGCCAGCTTCCCTGTCCTCACAGTTGAGCTGACCCCGGTCCACGCACGACTTTTATTCCCGTAGAGGGTGCCCAGGGCAACGCCTGCCTTTCCCTGCATGTGACCAAGCCGTCCACAGCACATTCCTAGGTCAGAGCTCTGGCTGTGGAAACGAAGAACAGCTCCCAGCTCTGTTTGCTGCAGAGGTCACCAATGACAAGAACTCCCCCGTGGGCCGAGTTTTGTGGTTCCTGGCTTTCCTGGTGACAGCTGTGCTCAGGTGAAGATCAGTGACCAACAAATAAAGAAGGGGTCGGGGCCTCCCCGTGGTGCAGGGGTTAAGTCTCAGCGCTGTGAAGCTGTCAGCAGCAGGAGTTCCATCCCGGCCAGGGGTGACCCAAGGGTGCAGCAGACCCCTCCAGTCTCCCGCTGCCCCTTCAGCCGGGGATTTCAGTGGATTTGTCTGTTCTGCTCCCCACTCTGATCTGGCTCCCTGCACCTCTGGCCTACACCCCAGCTCTTGTACGCATGAACAAATAAAGTATTAAAAAAAAAAAAAAAAGAGGGAGAAGAGGGAAAGAGAGGAGAGGGCCAAGCATGCTCTGAGTTGGGGCTCTCCAAGGGTTCCTGTAAGGTAGCCAATCTGGGCCCTCCCTGGCGGCACAGGGGTTAAAGCGCAGCACTGCGAAGCTGGCAGCAGCCACTGCAACATGAGTTCGATCCCGATCCCACCCCGGAGCTGACCCACATGGCGCGGCAGACCTCTCCTGACGCACCCGCTGCTCCCCTCAGCAGTGTACTTTGTCCATCTGCCTGTTCTGCTCCCCACTCTGTCTCTGGTGAGTCCTCTCACCCCTACACCTCTGCCTATACCCCAGTTCTGAATGCATAAATTAATCTTTAGAAAACAAAAAGACAGTCCGATCTGTTTTACAGGGGAGCAGAGGGAGTCGCAGAGAGGTTAGGGACTCCCTGGAGCGGGATGAACAAGACCCCCCAGGCAGCCCAAGCCCAGACCCCACGCTCCAGCCGTGTAGAGGGAAGCACTGGGCCTTGCAGCCGGAACCACCCGCCTGCTGCCCGTAGCCAGGCGAGTGACCTTCCCTCCCCCCGCCTCGTGCGTTAAAATGCCGGCCACGTCCCCACGAAGGCGCCAGGGAAGCGTCCACCGCCAGACACTGCGTGATGACCTGACACCAGAGCACAGAGCGGCGGGTCCTCCTCCAGGTCAGAAGAGACGGCCAGACCGTGACCGAGATGCAAATCTTGACCTTTGCATCTGCAGCTGCACCTGCGGTATTTCCGCCGGCAGAAGGAATTTACTCCGAGCAGCTTTACCCTTCCGGGCTCTCCGCCAGCAGGCGCCTCCGAGCCCTGGCGTGGCTGGTCTGCTGGGGAGCCCTCTCGACCCGCTTCTTCCCCCGCGTGACCGCGGGTCCTGGTGGCGTTAGAAGCTGGTTGGCTGCGAGGTCGGAAGCCCCAGGCAGAGCCGGGACTAGGTTGTGTGCCTGAGAGGCCCAGCAGCCACCTCGCACTGCAGGCGGGCTCAGCGGGGCTGGGCTGCGCTGGGGCCCCACAGCGAGAGTGAAAATGAAACTCGGACTTAGAGGGGTCCGCACCGGCCCCGCAGCGCCTCGCCATTTCCCTTCAGGGAAGGGGACGTAGAGTGGACACGGCAGGGAGAAGCCTCACAACGGGCTGCCGGCGGCTGGCGCCGCCTTCTCTGACCTGGACGGCATCACGGGGCGTTGCTGGGCCACGGCGCTGAGTTTGTGGGTTAAGGGTCTGCCGGTGGCCGCTGGGACGGGGCTTGCAGGGAGGGCGGTGTTCTGGCCAGTGTCTGGGGAGCTGGCCGGTGCGGGGGGACAGCAGCAGGGTGGAGGCCCCTCGCCAGACACGCAGGCACAGACAGGGACACCTCGCCGGCGGCTGCGGCCTGCTGGTAGCCTGTTTCTCTTCCCCTACCGCGTCCCGGTCACTGGCCCGCTGAGCAGAGAAGGGGGAAGAAATAAGTAAGCCGGTGAGCGGTGAGCCGTCTCCCGGACAAAGTGAACTGGGCCTGTCTGGACACGGGGTGGCACCCTGAGTGGGCCCGGCGCACACACGGACACAATCCTGGGCTGAGGCACCCAGGAAGTCCCGTGTGGGCGGTGGGCCGTCCCTCCTCTGGAGGGCCCTGCTCTGACGTCTGCCGGGACAGGTGGGTCCAGGCCAACCCAAGGCGCAGGCCAGACCCAGAAGCATGCCATCCCGATTCACAGCTGTCTTAGAATTTTCTGGAAGGGGCAGGGGAGAGCTGGCTTGCCAGGACCCAGCCCGGCCCAAACACACGTCCGGCTGGTACTGTCCTTCCCACGGAGTGAACCTGGGTCTTTAACCTTTGTAGCTTAGCTCCCTTGGGAACGTGAACCCCTGAGTACTCACTGAACCCCCAGGGGCCCAGTTTGATCATCTGTGAAAGGCAAGTTAAATGAGTCAGAATCATCAATTAAACAGAGTCTAGGGCCTTCCCCTGTGGTGAAAGGTGTTAAAGCCCAGCGCTGTGAAGCTGGCCACAGCCACTGCAGCCGGGAGTGACCCCCCCAGGGTGCAGCAGGCCTCTCCTGTCTCCCTGCTGCTCCCTCAGCAGTGGATTTCAGCGGATCCACCTTTTCTGCTCCCCACTCTCTCCCCCTGCACCTCTGAACTGCTCCTAGTTCTGTATGCATAAATAAATACATGTTTAAAAGTAAAATAAATTGGAGTCTAGTTTATAGAGTAATTGACCAGCATCCCTGACCACGGCCCAGGGAGACCCGCCGCGGACCAGGGCAACAGGAGACCCGGCGAGGAGCGGGGTCTTGCCGTGGGTTCCCAGCAGAGGGGAGAGGCCACTGGTGTCCCAACACCAAGCCGCCTGCTGTGGTCAGAGTGGGGGGTCAGAGTGGGGTGCCTCCCCACCACAGAGGCAGGAAACAGGTCTGGTGAGAACTCTGTTTCTGTAGTCGCTTTGTAACTTTCTGTAAATTTCAAAAATTACTTTTAAAAAAGCACCGCCTCTCCCCTCTGGGCTCAGCCCTGCCTCATCCTGCAAACACCTTGTTCCACCAGCCGGAAACGCGGCTCCCAGGTCCTGGCTCTCCCCACCGGGCTGCCCGCCGGGCCTGCCCGCACCATCTCTAGAAAGAGCCCCTCGGCCTGCGCAGCCCTGTTGCCCGGAAACCTTCAAGGAAACACAGAGAGCCCCGTGCTCCCCTGGCCCTCACCACCACGGCAGTTGGCGGGGGGGTGGCTAGTCACTGTTCAATAGACGACGCCCATTTCAACCAAGAATTCTGTCTCAGTTCTCGCCCCACGCCCCGCGGTGGCGCCAGGAGGAAGGGGGGGTCGTCCGGCAAAGGGGGGCTGGCGGAGTGAAGCCGCAGAATGGCAGGGGATGGCGTTTCCGCGGCGGACCACTCCACTTCTAAAGCCGGTAGTGAAACGGGGTTTCTGAGGTGAACAGGGAGGCGGAGGGGGGCGGCAGGGGCCTGGCCCGCGGGG